GCCCACGCCCCTCGTTGAGCCCCTGCACACCTGATAGCGGCGCTGATACCGGCCCGGCCCGCCGCACTCTCGTTGCGCGCCGCGGCGGCGGTGGAGGACTTCGCGCCTCGGGTGTCCGCAGGAAGTGCGTCGATACCGAGGCTCTGGCGCGGATAAGAGTCGTAGCACGTCACCCCGTATGATGACTGACGTTGACGGACGGCCTGTTAGTCCAGAACTGGGGCTGTGCCCAAACCACGTGACTTTAAAGAGGTGGGGGGCATCCAAACTATTATGGTGTTTCAAATGGGTCAGGACGCGTCATAGGAGTCGATAGGAGGGAGCATCGAGGAGCACAGCCCGAGCACAGAAGAAAGCGCTACCTCTCCAACCACCTCTACTTTATTTTAAACTGACTGACCTCGTGTACAAATGTTGAAATTTAGATATCTTTTGTTCACATCCCTCTCGCCTGCTCCGTGCCGGCAGTCAGCGCCATGCGCGCCAGAAGGAAGGGACAGCCGCCGCCCGGTGAGCAGGCAACCCAACCGGCCGCCGCGTAAGGTTGGAGCGGCGGCAGCTGGTGGCATCAGGCGGCATCAGGCGGCAGGCACCTCCAGCCCGGCGGCAAATGGGTTGCCTACCCCTCCGGCGAGCACCGCGGCACCCTCTTCCTCCTCGCACACCCCTTCTCGCTGCTCTCCGAGGCAAAACGACAGCCCTCTCTATCGCGATGCTTATGCCGCGACAGACGCACGGCGGCCCGCGCCGCCACGATAAGCAGAACAACAGGACCATCGCCGGGGGCGTCTGTCTGTCTCAAGCAGGCCGATTATCGTCATCATACGTTTATACGCCGCGGTGAGACAAAGAGCGGCGCCTCTCTAGCCGGCCCGCTTCCGCATGCTTCCGCATACAGAGCGCCGCCCGGTGCGTAGTCTCCACCATGAGGCGCGCGCAATCATTCGCCCGGCTCGAGACCAATTTTTATTTTTCCCACGGTGTACGTTTAAGACGGGCTGGACCGGCCATTTTCGGTTCGGCCAAAAAGACCATAACTTAGCAGCACGTGGGTGGAGAGAGGGGGGGGGGAGACATAGGGAGAGAGATGTATATAGATATACACAGAGAGGGAAAGAGAGTGTGCGGGGGCGCCTTGCAGTCTCTCTTTCGCACCCACTCGCCCCAGCACAGCCCCCCCGTCTCAGTTGGGAGGACAAAATCATTATTACACCCAGACGCACGGCGGCCATGGGCGGGACGGGGACGAGACGGGGACGCCCCCGGAAAATTACACATGCAGACATTTTTCGCGTCTTTCCCTTTCCGAGTAAAAGCGAACATTATAATGGCGCTGAACAAAGACAAATGAGACGCGAGCGAACCGTCACAAGCTCTGCTGCTGCGACTCATTCATTTCGCAACAACAAACAATCGCCCTACACTGAGGGAGGAGGTCATACCGCTCGTCCGTCTTCTTCACCGCCGCCGATTCTCAAAGTGGCCATTTACTCCCGGCGGGCAACACCAGCAGCAGCCGAGGCAGCATAGCAGCGCCTCCTGATGACCATAGTCCTCCTGGGGTCATTGCAGCTTCCGGCAACGCCGTCCAGTCCATGCTCGTTCGGCTCCGGCGGGGGCCTCCGGGGCGGGCGGGGGCGTCACGGTCACCGGCAAAGGGGCGGGCCCGGGCCCTACTAGGAGGCATCTGGGGGGCGGCTGGGGTCGCGCTTGGCAGGCACATCTCGGCTCGGCCCACTGTATCCAAACTCCTCCTAATCCACGACGACTGCACGCCCACCCCCAATCTTTTCCGAAAAGTGAAAAGTCCGAACTTAATTTCCGTCTCGCCTGCTGCGGCATGGACACCGCACCTGTCGCGGCACCCACTGTACAGGGGGCGCGGGCGCCGCTCCCGTGCCCGGCCCTGAGAGGTCGTGCACACTTCGTGCACATGGCGCTGACCGCCGCGCGCGCCGCTCACACTTCGTGTATATGATCGTGCATTCCGCACCGGATACGTCTCATCCTCTCCTCCGGGCGGGCGGCGCCTCCTAAAGCTTTCCCACGGCTCGGCCGCGCTAAGCAGCCGTAGGCCGGGACACTTCCTAATGGGGCGTACCGGCCATAGCGTATAACCCTGATGTGTCTAATTCGCACGGAGACCCGCGGGACCAACACCCACACCACCGGAGGCGGAAGAGGCGGTCACAAGTCGCCGCCGGTCGTTGCACTTGTCGCCTTGTTATTTTAATTAAAACGTTGTTGCACTGAAAAAAAAAGGATTTTTTTCAGTGCGGT